AAATTTAGCTAAGACCTTCCTTATTCTTTGTTTTTTTTTTTTAACTGAAAACTCTCAACCTGTAAATGTAATTGTTGTCTTTTGTCTTAAAAAAACAATAAAAACTTACTGCTTATGGCTCTTTTAATGCTCTTTCTCTATTTCGCTCTCGCTCTGTGTGTCTCTTCCTCTCTCGCTCTCTTTGTCTCTCTGTCTCTATCTATATTAAATATAATAATTATTATCAATGTGTCGAAACTGTGTGTTGTGCTTTCAATATTTATATATTAATCAAATACGAAAAACGGAACAGCAAATATTAAAAGAAAAAATATATACAAAAAAATCTCCATCAAATAAAACAAGAGAGGGGTCCAGATCTGAACGTTGTGCAATTGATAAACCAGATATATATATAAACTGCATTAATCTATCAATCGAAACAAAGAATCGTACTGAAGCGCTTTTGGTGTTTTTTAAGCTACTTATAAACTACATAAAAAACAATATAAAAAGAAAATAAGAAAACAAACCACAAGAAATGCAAAAAAAAGAAGAACAAAAAAATCAAAAAATAAAAATCAAAATAATATCAGCAACAAAAAAAAAAAAGACTATAGAAAACTAAATCGATTTAAAATATATATCACCGATATACACACACACATCACACACTCACACCAACACGAAATACATACAAACTATATAATACTATTTTTTTCCAACGATATATATGTATTATCTAAATGTGGAACGCTTTTACCATAAATCGTTCGTTCGTTGTTCGTTTATGTAAATGGTAAATGTGTGTGTTATATTTTTCCATAAACTAAATGTCTTTCATTTCCCTCTATAATATATATCCTTATTTTTTCTATTTGATTCAATGTTGATTTTCCTATATAGTATATATATATTTTTTTTTAAATTTAATATTTAATATGTGTTTAATTTGTTAACTCTCCAGAGATGAGTTTCTGCTGCAAACCGATTTTAGGATCTTTTAGGGATAGTTTATGGTTTGAGTTCTTAGAAAAATTTCACTTAATAATTAATTTGAACTCTGTGTTCCATCCAGTTTTCATTCATTCATTTCATTAAATCATTTAATACTTCATTTAATTATATTGTTTTTTTTTTAAATATTTTTTTGAGGTTTATTTTCTTTTTTATTTAAGGGTCAGGCTGCTTAGATACGTCAAATAGTAATTTTTTGTTTTTATTTTGTGTGTTTTTATTTAATTTCGTTTTTTAATTATTTTTTTAAAAAGGCTTAACTAGTTTTTTTTTAACTCCAGTAGGTCTTAATTTTTTTTCGGTTAGTGTTACATTATTAAAGTTATGCATCCCGTATATGTTTTTTTTAAACATCATTTTGATGTATAGTTTATTTAATAATAATTATTAATAACATTAAAAAATGTCTTTTCAATTTTTTAAAAATTCAAGAAAGTAAATTAAATATCTTAAATAAAATAAAAAAAACATTAAACATTTTATAGGTTTTGCTGACTATTCAGATTGTTTTTTTTTTCGTTAGTTAATTTATTTTTTTATATTATTATTTATTTAAATATTTATTTATTTTTTTTTAATTTACTTCTATGGTTTTTTTTTGTGTAATTACCTAATTTACCTTTTTCCCCTATAATTTCTTTCTATACATTTTTCTTCCCTGTTTTTAAAATCAATGTTGTTGGTGAACGTTGTAATTTTTTATTTATCTCTTTTTTTTTTTGTATTTTTAACTCTATCTCTATTAAATTCTATTAAATAATCCAATTCGCTCTGTCTGTCTCTCTCTATCTCTCTCTCTCTCTCTCTGTCTGTCTTACTCTCTCTATCTCTCTCTCTGTCGTTACATTTTTGTGTTTACTATATAAAAAGCTACTCGTACGTATACATAATATATGCCTTTGTTCCTTTCCGTATCATTTATCGTTGTTGTGTGTGCTCTCTATTCAAGTAAAGTCTATTCGAATAATCAAGTATTTAAGGATCGGATCGCAGGATAATAAGCTCCTTTCTCATAGCATATGTGTGCGTGTGTGCTGAGCGTGTTTTGAGTGTGTTGTGTGTGTTTGGTTTGATTGTTCGATTTTACCTTTGGTTTTTTTTAAAAATAAATATTTGATCCTTGAACTAAATGTTGTGATTCTGAATACCAAAACCATATATGTGCGGCATATCCTGTGTATACGTATAAGTCTGAAAGCTCTGTCTCTCTTTCCCCAGGTATATATACCTACCATATAAGTTAACCGACTCTCGATTTAAGATATTAAAACTCGATCTAGAACTATACTCGTGTCAGGTTTCTTGGCTCTTGGAGGCTAATTAGCAAGTGGCAGTTCCCTAATTCGGAATACGATATTCGAAATGCGATATTCAATATTCGAAGTGCGAAATTTAATGTTCGATATTTCAAATGCGAAATTCGATATTCGATTTTCAAAATTCGAAATGCGAAATTTGATATTCGTAATTCGAAAGTCCATATTCGAAATTCGATATTTAATATTCGAAATGCGAAAATCGATATTTGTAATTCGAAATTCGTAATTCCACATTCGATATTTTTAGTTATCGTCGTCTCCTTACTTTTCCTCATTTCTTTTATCACCCTGTTTCCCTGTTGTTACTTGCCTTTTGTTGCACTTTTTGTTTTTCGTTGTGACACACATTAAAAAAAAATATAAAAAAAAGATACGAATTTGAAAATAAAACTGAAAAGAAACTGAAAAAGCAGAGAAAGAAATGTATTAAAAAAAATTATAATAAAAAAATGTTGATTGATTTATTTAGCATTTAACATTTATTTTGATTTGATATTATCAAGAAGTTGATCTGCGTTTTTTGAACATGGCTGTGCTGAATGAACATTTCCCTTGACTTTGTATACCCTTTCTTTTGTTCGAGTCAATGTGTCTTTTAATTTGTTTTGTTTTTTTTTTTTTAATATATAATTTTATTTGTGTAAATTGTAACATTTTGTGCGAAAAAAGAGTGCGGCATATGAGGAAAAACTTCTTGAAAATAGCCAAGTGAAGCTCTTGCATTTACCTTAAAATTTTTGTTTGTTTTTTATATATATTCGTATATATATATATTCTTTTTCGGAAACAACAAAACACACAAAACCTACACACGAAATTTTCAAATTCAAACAACAAAAAACACGATTTGGCCCCCACCCCCACATGAATTTGTTTTCTCAAAAAAAAAGAAACCCCAACATTTTGTATGTTTTTTTTTTTTTGTTTCAAAATTTTTATTCAAAATTTTTAACACTTTTTTGTTTAAGCCTACATATATATGGACGATTTATGTACAGATTTATTTATATGTGATTTGTTATTGATTTTTTTTTATGTCGTACGCAACACATTGGCAAACCGAAAACAAAATTTTGTCCTTATAATTTTCGAAAATTTGGCAAACCAAAACAAAAAAAAAGAAGAGTGTGCAAGGTATGCGTGGTTAAAAACAATAAACATCTTTTTTCATGCATTTTGTTGTTATTTGTTACCTTTTTTTTTTGGTTACCTCTCACTTGTTTTGCCAAATGAAAGAAAATAAAATCCCAAATTTTTGTTTATGATTTGACAATATAGTTTCGAGTACGAACTAAAAAAAGATCACTGTTCAAACCCAAAATTTAAATCGAAATTAGAGTCGAAAAAGCGTATCGCGAAAAAACACCTTTGATCAAAGCCGATTTGATCAAATTTAAGAGAAAAAAAAAAACAAAAACAATACAATTTTTAACAATAAGTTTACACAAACAAAAAACTATATTAAAAAACAAAAAACGAAAAAAAAACACAAAAAGCTAATTGTAAAACCAAAAATATCAAAAAAAGCAAAGCAAAGAAAAGCTTTATCAAATATTTAACGTACGATTATGCGACGTTTTTCGAACAACGCCCAAACAAAAATCGAAATTCAACTTCTTGAAAACAAAACAAAAAACAGAAAAATACCAAAACTGAAAAAAAAAACCTGAATGAAAATACCCACTTTGTTAATGCAATTCTTGTAAAGCAATAAACATGAAAAATAAAAAAGCAAAAACAAACAAACGAAATACACAACGAAAGTCAAATGCTGAAACCCCCTCTTGTTTTTTTGGCATCCATTCAACGTTTTGAGACACGTTTCGAAGATCTGAGAACTGAGATTCTGGGCTCTGTCAGCCAGGTTCCCGGTTCCGTTTCCCGTTCCCCCAACCCGATATGGAGGCGGAGGAGCAGGAGTAGGAGGAGGATGAGGATGAGGATGAGGATGAGGAGAGCATTGTTTTCCATTCTTCTTTCACTAATGAGACATCGATTCATTGATTCCGTTTTTAAGTACCTTTTCCTTATAATTTTTCCTTTACTTTTACCAATTTGTAAAGTTTCTAATTTCTTTTTAGTATATTTTTTTTGTTCTTTCCAAGTTTTCTTAATTTTTCTTCCTACTTTTCCACACATATAACTCTCATGTACAAGTTGAAATACTAGAGTTCCAACGTTGATTTGTTGAGGAGAGCGAAGAGTTGCCGAAAGTAAAGAAAATTCTTGATCACTTTTTTTTCCAAACTGCATAATTTACGTTGTCTTAGTTTTTGGAACATTCTATATATAACTGTCTCTCTCTCTCTATTACTCTCTCTCCTTCTCTCTCTCTCTCACTCTCTGTCACTGCAAAAGTAAAAAATAATTTTATGATTTTATTAGTTAGAAAAAAATACTCAAAAAATACTTAATACTAGTTTTGCCAAAGACAAAGAAAACGAAGAAAAGCAAAAATTCAAGACCAGCAGAGAGGCGATGCAAACTAAACTAGAGATACACACACACACACATACAGAGAAATCGAATGGCCAGCAAAAAGCTGAAACTGAAACTAAATAAATACCAAAAATACCAGAAACCTATGAATACCAGAAAAAAAAACAGAAAAAAAACTAAAAAAAAAAAGCAAGTCAAAGCCAGTAAAGAAGTTGATGTTGGATTTTTGTTTGGTGTCTGTTCCAGGAAACGTCCGAATCGCCCCACCAACAGCAACAGTCCGTTGGTGGCTCAGCGGCCGCCGCAGCCGCTGCCGCTGCCGCCGCCGTCCTGCTGCATCAGCAGCAACAGCAGCAGCATCCGCACCCCCATCCGCATCCGCACTCGCATCCGCACTCGCACACGCACCCGCATTCACACTCCCACACCACCACCCACAGCCACTCCCACCAGCAACAACAACAACAACAGCAGCAGCAGCAACAGCAACAACAGCAGCAGCCACCCCTAAGCCCGCCGCCGCCCCCGCAGCTGCACATGATACCGTGCATCTACTGCGGCATGACCTTCCCCAACCAATCGAAGCTCACGCGTCACCTGCTGACGCACTCGCTGAAGACGCTCGAGTACCGGGAGCCGGCCACCACGGCGCTGCTTCACTCTCACCTGGGAGTGCTCAGCGAGCTCAATATGGCCGGTTTACCGCCGCCATTTGCCGCCTTTCAGATGAATGCCGCCGCCATGGCGGCCACATCCGCTGGCAGCGACACACAGGAGCAGGTGGCTGCCGTTGCAGCGGCCTTTGGGATCGATATGGAGGCGGCTCTATCGTTGGCCAGTGCCGGTTGCACCTTTCAGAGCTTGACGGCCAGCCTGGAGGCGAGCCAGGGCGTTACGGCTGGTGGTGGACGCTCTTCGTCAGCCGGAAATGGCGGTGGAAGTTTAATGCTAACCGGAAGTGGATCATCAACCGGCGGTGGTGGCGCTGGAAGCGGAGCTGGAGGAGAAAGAGGAGGCGGTGGTTGCGGTGGTGGTGTAGGAGGAGGTAGTGGTTCGGGTGGAGCGGGAGGAGGAGCGGGTGGCGCTGGCAGTGGTGCATCCGGCGGCGGCGGTGGTGGGGCCAGCGGCTCCTCCTCGCCATCAACCTCTGCCGCAGCGGCGGCGGCGGCAGCAGCGGCGGCCGCAGCAGCTGCTGCACAGTCGCAGTCAGCCGCGCTGCTCGGCGCCGCGTCCAGTGATCCGAATAGTGTTGTCATGTGTAAGTTCTGTGCTAAAAGTTTTCCCGATGTTACATCACTGATCACGCATTTGTCGGTACATACAGGTGATCGACCATTTAAATGTGAGTTTTGTGGCAAAGCGTTTAAGCTGCGCCACCACATGAAAGATCATTGTCGCGTGCACACCGGTAAGTGTTGTAGTTTATATAAACCTATAATATACATATATATATTGATCGATAGATCAATCGACCCAAGCCACACACGACCATCAATCATATTTGTTTATCTTTTCTGATTGTCTCAAAAAAAGTTGTCAACAATTATGTGAGAATTTCAATAGAAAAAATTATTAACAATAGAAAATCAATGATATCGAACATATCGATATAATATCGAATGCATTTCGTTAAAATATTAATTAAGGTTTCTAAATAGGAAAATTATACACATTGTAGGATGAAATAGTGACAAATATAGAAAGAAAGTTATAGAAAGTTTAAAAACTTTAAATTGTTGAACAAAATCGATAATATATAATATTGATTTTATCGATATTTTTTAGATTTTATTGTATTTAAACTTTGTATAAAACTCTTGCACTAAATATGTAAAAAAAAAGTTCAAATAGGAATAACAAACTCAAAAAAATCTAGGAATACATCGATTATTTTGTATATTACCAATTGGAAATTAAAAGATTTTTCCACATAGATTCCATAAACAATTTTCTTTGGAAATTTATGGATACATGTGTACCCTCTTCTACCCTATTCTAGCCCTTTCCCTCTAGAATATGGTTATTTTTAAGCGAATATGTTGGCAACACTAAAATATATATTTTGATTTATTCCCAACTATTGTATTTTATACAAGATTTTCTTTATTTCATACTGAATTATAGACATATTCCAATTCAGTAAAAATCATACCATTGATTGAATTTTAAAAATATATTTTTCCAATTGATGTGGTAAACTGGTAAACACCAATATACCAACACCAACGACAATTCACCAATGTGTAGAATATACTTTGGGCGTCTTCGACGAGTTTAAGTTTTTAAATCAAAAAATTTTTTTAAATCACTTCAATAAGGAGATTCGATTCTTGCAAATGTCTTAGGAAACTTTAATGAGACCTCAACATATTTTTACAATCATTATCATACACCAATTCTCCATACACCAATTACAATCAATTTGAAAGTTTGTTATGTCTCTATATTGAAATGTATATTTCCCCCGATTTCCCCCCCAAAATTGTTATTTTGTTGTTGGGGAAATCAAATTTGCAGGCGAACGACCTTTTCGATGTAATATGTGCGGGAAAACGTTCTCGCGCTCAACGATACTCAAGGCGCATGAGAAAACGCATTTTCCCAAATATGTGCGCAAGTTTTTGTCACCCAGCAGCCCGGTCGATACAAAGGATGAGTTGCCGCAATAGTGAAACGATTTTAGTTTGTTATTAAATTATTATTATTACTACTATTACTACTATAATAATAACAATAACAACATCAACAACAACAACAACAACAACAGCAGCAGCAGCAACAACAACACCAACAATTACAACTACAACAACAATTGATGATAAGAGAACGAGCCAACAAGAACTTTGACTTACTTAAGAGGATAGAAAAGCGAGGAGAGACCAATAAACACCAACAAAAAAAAGCAACAACATTAACACACACACACAAACACCAATACCAACCCACATATATGTATATACCGTTGAAACCATGTATATACATATGTACATATTTTATTAATTATATAGAACGAGGCATCCGAAACGCCTCAGAAGAATCACAGTGAGTCTTCAGGGGTAGAGAAAGAAAGAAACTCTAGCAAATAGGAAAGAGACAGCAAAACACCAACACACACACATAAACCAGCATACAGACACAATAGAGCAGGCAGGCTATAACCGTACACAAAACATCTATATTAACATATACATTATATACAATAATTATATAGCAGCATATTGTCGAATTGTTGAAGTTTATACCAAGAAGCGAACTTGTTTTTTTTTTGTGTGAAAGACGATTAGAAAGCGGATCAAGATGATCAGGATCAGAATATATATATATGATCCAATGCGAGAACAGCGAGAAGGATTGGATAGATACATATATCCAGAATATCCCGTCTTTTTTTTTTTATTGTGAAGAGAAGCGTTTTTTTCTACACAGTTAACCTAGAGGGAGAACAATTAAAGCTAATTCGCAGCGTGAGAGTTGTAGCAGGAATCTAATAAAAAATTATATATCTACATATATATATATACATGCATATATATATGATATATATATTTTTCAAAAGTATATATGTAAGAGAACGTAAGACATATAGGCAAGAAAGAAAAAGCCCAAAAAAAGAAAATAATTAAAAGAAGTTTACAGAAAATATTAAAAATATAAAAAAACAAAAAATCGATAACTAAACATGATAAAAAAAATGGATCTAATTGAATACGATTTAGTAATGCTAACGATAGCGATTAACGATAAACATATAATATATATATATATATATACATATATATATAATGAAAAGAACAGTGAACACGTGATGTAACTTTTTAAGTAGCAGCCGAAGCCGAAGGATCCGAGAACGTAGAATGTTGACGATGATAATAACGAGTTAAAGTAGCTTAAAGTAAATACAACACCCGCTCCCCTTCCCTTACACCAACAGACACCCAGGCCCAAGTAAAAGCAAAGTGACCTGGTGAAAAAACACACCAATACACCAACACACGAGCCAACAACAATTCACGAATTAGTATATTATTTTTGTGCGTCTTTTTTTTTGTATTTTTTTTTTTTGTTTTGAAACAAGTGAGCAAGTAAAGTTAGTAAAACATACATATCCCAAGACACAAGCCCTAGGCAGATCGGCTACAGATCGAACAGCTATATAGAGGACTCTTTTTCGATAGCGAAAGCTAAGCTCCACTTAGTCGCCCGCTCCCTTCGCTCACACACACACAGACACCCACTCACACGCGCGTATATTATACACTCACAGAACTTATTATACAGTAATATATATACAAATATCTATATACAATATTTATATATCTATATAAAACCAGATGCAGAAAAAAATAAAATGAAACAGAAATCAGACAAGAGACAGGAGAGACATTTTTGGAATTCAGATAAAATTTGAGAAAAGCAGCAGCAGCAGAATTACATAGAATATCTGTGATCTTAACGATATTTATATAAATCTTATACATAAACCAAAAAATATATATATGTATATGAGTAGTAGAGGGAAAACAACACCAACACCAACAACAACAACACACCAACAAACACACCAACAAACACACCAACAAACACACCAACACTAGGCATACCAACTAAGGGTGGTTGTAGCAAACGAAACCAGAAAACAAAAAAAGTTGGAAAACATTTTAGGCTCAAAATTTGATTCGAAAATGATGAACCCTTGACGCACTGATATATATTTTTTTATTTTAATATTTTTAAAACATTTAACCAGGTTTACTTTGCTTTGAAAGACAACCCCTTTATGACCCTTTTAATAAACAGAATTGTCAGGAATATCTTGAGAGAATTGAAATCATTTAAAAGTTGGCTGAAAAGTAGGCTATATTTTAATGATTTTCCTGGCTCTTCTGATAAACCTTAAATTTGTTTGCATTATCACGATTTCTATATTGAATTTTTGGCTACGAATTCTCTTTTTCTCTGGCTAAACTAAAGGGAAAAGCGAAGTTCCCCCATAACCCTTGCCCTAGAAATAAAACCTTTTCCTCCAAGCTCCAAGAAAGCCCTTGGCCCGGCAACAACAGCAAACGAAAGGAAACAAGAAATGCAAATCGATCTCAAAATTATAACAATATATAAAAACAAACAAAAAATTATCTATAAAAGAAAACAAAAACCAAGAACGTTTGTGACTGTTTTGGGGTTAAGCGCCAGAATTTTGGAGGGTTAAAAAACCAAAAACCAATTCTTGTTTTCTGCGGCTGGCAATAAGATTTTTTCCATTCGAATTGGGAACACTGAAACATTTTTTAAATAAAAACAAAAAATATTTAAAATATTTAGAAGAAAGGAGGCAACAACAAGAAAAAAAAAAACGCACACCAAGAAGCACGCTAGACAAAATTCAAAATTCTAAATTTTAAAACAAGAAACCTTTTGGCAGAAAGCAAAAGCAAAAACAAAAAACGGGAGAGAAACACAAAAACTTTTGGATTAAACAATTTGGCTGTGATAGCATTACAAGAATAGTGAATAATTATTGAATAATTAAAACGTATTTAACCAAAAAAACAAAAAACAAAAAACGGGGAGAGCAGAGGCAAATAATTATAATTATTTGCTAAGCATTTTTTGGAAAAAGCAGAAAGCAAAAAAGCGTTGCCATTTTTCACCTTTGTTGTTGGCTTACTTTTCTCATGCAGTATTAGAAAAGGATCTTACCGAGGGGGTGGGTGGGGCGAGTAGAAGCAACAGGCATCAATTCAATAATTGTGATGTTTAAAAATCTGCATTAACAATTAATTAATATCTAACATAATCAAGGAAGCATTATAAATAAACAAACAAAATTTAAAGTTTAGGAACAAATGGAAAAGAAAAAAAGAGAAAGCAAAACAAAATTGTGATTTTCGGCCTTTTAGAAACAAAATTAAACATAACAACAAAAACAAAAACAATTAACAATTAAAAATAAATAATAATAATGCTAATGATATATACAAAAAAAAAAAACAAAAACCAAAAGCTTTCTCAATAATTTTAATTGCATTTCAATAGGAAAAGTAAATTGATTTTATTTTTGGCACAGCCAGACCAAAAAGTCTTTGCACAGCCGCCGCAGAAAAATAAGAAAAAAATAAATAAAAACAGGGAAAATATGAGAGAAGAAAACCAAAACATTCCAAGAAAATAATAATAATAAAAAAAAGGTTGGAAAAATTAAAATTAGGCAAGGGTAGAGGGAACTTCAATAAAGGGAGAAATATATACATCTATTTTTTTTTTAACTTTTTTTTTGTTGTAAAACAAATAAATATGCACTGAAAACCCCCTCACCAACACACACACACACTCTCACATACACACTATGTTTCATGCTCTGTGTCTCTTATTAATTATTATTATTCTTTTTTTTTTATTAATATAAACATCTACATAAATATATATATATAAATGAATATATATATACTTAGTTTTAAAATGTTTAAGCGAAATGTTATTATTATTATACCAACTTATATGAAATTTATTTAGCTTTAGCAACAACAACAACAACAAAAAACAAATTTAACTAAAACGAAACAACAACAAAAAACGTGGCAACAAATTAATATAAATATATCTATTTTTTGTTTTTAGTTCTTTGATAACTTAAAAAAAAAACCCTTTCTGTTCTGTAAAAAAAAACACATATTATTTGTTAAATAATTTAGCCAAACACACAAGAACACAATGAATTTGTCAGCTGTAGAAAAACAATAAGAAACAAATGAAAAAAAAAAAAAAAACAGAAATAAAAATTAAAAATTAAAGTTTAAAAATTTTAAAATTAAATTCAAAATCAACACACAGCAAAAAGGAAAATAATGAAAAATGCAGCAGTCTAAGTGGAAACAAAAATGAAAATAAAAAAGATTCTATAACTTTTGGCCTTTTTTTCTACCAAATCAACATATATATTATACTTTTTCATTCACATACTATATACTATATATATCATTGGATAATTCATTGTGTCCTCCGCATTTCCATTTTGCTCTCATTTTTAATGCTTTTATTTTTTATGATTTTATCACCTAAGTTTTAGTTGTAAGAATATTGATTAGATTTTAAGTTGTGATCAAAAGTTCCTTAGTTTGGTTCCCCCATAAACGTTAATTTGTATTTTCAATTATTTTGTTCTTATTTTTAAATTTTTTACATTTTTTAAAGTTAAAAAAAAAAAACAAAAAACAAGCCATCAAACAGCAGCAACAAGAAGTAAAAATTTCTAACAAGTTCCTTGAAAAAAAACAGACAAAACAAAAAAACTACAAAATAAATAAATACACTTAAAAAAACATATAGGAAAATATATAGAAAAACAAGGCAGTCAAGTTTGTTTTTAATTTAGTTTCCTTTTTTTCTAGCTTTCTGTTCGTTTTCTTTGTTGTTTTTTAATATTTTTATTTTATTTTTATTTACCAAAAATGTTGCCCGCTTTTTCTTCGTGTGTAAAAAAAGAGATAAAAATACTTTTTGGATCAAAACATTGCTAATACAAATTTTTAGTGGAAATTTTACCAAAAAAAAAAAGAAAAATAAAAACTTTTAGGCCTAAATAGAAACAAGAGACTCCAATATTAATTAATTTAGCTTCTTTGTTTTTGAGTGAAACCTTAAAATTATAAACAATTAATAAAATGCACTAAACTCGCATATACATATATATAGCATATATAGAGTTATACAGCTTGAGTTATACACGATTTCCGCGTTAGGTTCAACGTTGAGTTTGGCACAGGACAAACCCTTAAGAAAAAACATAAAAAATACATTTAAATAAGGAATTAAGGAAAAAATGGAAAAATATCATTAGGCGTAACTGCAAAAATGCATTTTAAAGGAAACAGGAATTTAAAATTATATATACAAGAAGGAGGGAAAAACAAAAGTAATACAAAATTATATATGTATACAATATATTTGGAAAAGCAAAAGTAAGGATATTTTATGAACCTATATGAATAGCAACACACACACACACACAGACACGACACAGACACAGACATCAGTCCCCTCCTCCCCCAAGCTAGGATATATCTTATGCCTAAATCGAAGCTTCAACTTGTAGACACAAAAGGAAAAAGGATCAGGATGCGACGTAATATTATATATAAATAAAGAATATATATAAAAACCATAACGCTAGAATTGCATACGAGTCGAATTTATATATGAATCTATATACAATGCATACTAGCAACATAAACATACTCAACTTACTGTAATACAAACTTTTACAAAGGCAACAGCAAACATTTTGTTTTCAGTGTAATTCGATAAAAAAGAAAATAACAAAAAAAAATACAGAAAGCTTTGGCACCCAAAAAAACAAAACAAAATAAATAAAAATATTACTTGAAAATAATTATAAAAACAAAAATATAACAACAACCAAAAACAGTTAAGCAAAATTACCACAAAACCAAAATTCAAACTTCAAAAAAACAAACTCAAAAGTAAAGAAAAACCAAAAAAAACCAAACCCAAAAACTGCAAGTTTCGGCAAATGAAGAACAAAAGTAAACATTTTCGAATAACTTCCTTTCGGTTTTCATTTTTCGGCATAGAAAACATTTTTTAAGCAATTTTTCGAATCAATTAATCTCTTAAATATATATTTGATTTTCATTTTCAATTTTGTTCTAGCAGAAAAAGTGCTCAGGGTAAACACACAGATTCTTCCAATACAAAATAATAACTAAATGAACGGCAAAACGGCAACAACAAACAATATTTATATATGCATATATCATTCAGTATATATCTAGATATATATATATATATATATACTATATATATACACAACCAAATGTATACAACAAACTACAACAAACAATAGTACCAATATTTAAACACAAATCTAATTTACAAAAAAGTGTTGAAAAACAGGAAGCTGATATATAGAAAATAATATGGGAAAAACAGAAACAGACCGAAACATGAATGCTCTACAAACAAAAATATGCATTGCGTACATAATTCAAAATAAATAGTGAATGTTTACAATCGACTTGCATATATTTTTTAATTGAAACATATTTTTTTAAAAAGCAACAAACTATAAATCACCAAGAGTAAGAAGCTAAACAACGGTAACTGCTGATTTTTACACAATCAAACAATAGTTGAAATATAAAAAACAACAAAGCTGATCAGTGCTTTGAACGTATATAAAGATAAATATATTTTTTTTTGTTTTTTAAATATTTTTTTTAGTGAAAAGTGAACGGTTTTTATACAATAAATAGAAACTCCTCTTAAAACCCCCCAAACTTCCCATTAAACCAACCACAATAAATGCCTTTTTTTTAAACAAGAAATAACAGTCATAGTGAAATGGTAAATAATTAATTAAAAAAGAAATAATAATTGTGTGAAAAGTGTGGGGCAAGGGGCAAAGAACTAGTTCCACAAAAAACAAAAAACCAAGAACTACTAGAAGCATTTAACCATAGAACTCTATCTCTTTATCTCTCTCTCAAGTGACAATAAACCAAAGCAAAACTGAAAACTAGTTCCGGTTAATCCGCAAACTAGTTACCAGAACTGCCATCAAAACCACAAAATACCCTGTAAATGTAAAATGTAAATAAATAGTATCAGACAAAGAACCAAGTTCAAGGTGGAACTAGTTCCCGAAGCCCCTTTTGTGCCCCACAATTACAATATATATCGATTGACTGACTGATTAATTGATTGATTACTTACTTACCTACCTAAACACACACACAAACACACACAAATGTACCCTGTTGACGAATTGCCTTCTTCTACGTGAAATGAATTCATTAATTTTACATAATCACCTACAATACAAATATAACTTAAGTGTACCCACAGTGAAACGATATCGTTATCGATAGAACCGATAGGCCGTTAAAAAACAGCTGATAGCAACAATTAAGTAACAAGAAAATAACAATTGATATTTACACCCTCAGCCTCATGTTTTTTACAGTGTTACAAAACCCATAAAACAAAATAAATAAATAAAGTGTAGAACAGAGAATATAAGAGATGACAAATATCCACAAAGTGAGGAGAAGAATGGAACACAACTTGAGTTGTAGTCAAAGTATATAAAGATTGTTTGTTCGTAGTATTCGTAGTATATATATTTTTTGTTTTTCTGTTTTCTGGACAAAGCCCTTACTTTCAATATATTTAAATAATTATAAATATATATATGTATATGCCTTTTTCTGTTCGTTAAGCGAAACTTGTGACTTGTAAGCGAAGCAAGCGAGAGACAGTGAAAAACGCAATAAACGATACACATAACTAGCAATTGGTTTCATCGGCGTATTAAATCAACAACCAACAATAACGACAACCATAAAGCAATATAACAAGCTCTAATTAATGACGAAATAAGAACCCCCCCAATCAACCAGACTAATTAAAAAAAAGTATAAATACAAAACAAAACAACTGAATATGTTTGAGTGCCAAGCTAACAATTCGAGAACATACTGTACATAGATACAAAAGGAAAAGTAAATAAAAACAAGTAAAAAATAAAAGAAAAAAAGAACCAACAAACTCACATTTCAAGAATATGTAAGTGTCTCTGTGCGGGGTCAATGAAGGGAACTAGTTCCGAATTTTGTGTTTTTCTAAACAAAATTTTAAAAGTATTATTTTGTAAGCAATTCTGCTAACGCCAGATATAAATCTGCTTATTTAACGCTTACATATCGAGAGTAAACGCTAATAAACGAGAATAAACAAAGAAGTTACCAAAACGAACTAG